ATTCTAGCACATTTTCTTCTTTGTAGTCATTGTTATTTATGTAATTTTCTTCTAATTGTGGCAAAAATATACAGAACATTCTCCAGTTCCACAACTTCTACTGGTATAATTCAGTGTCCTCTGTGCTGTACAGCCACTATTGATATCCTTTTCTAAATTATTCTACCACCATTGACATAAACTCAGTGTCCCCTATGCAACAACTCTTTTTCCCCCGTCATCTATGGTAACCATTGGTCAAGTTTGGTTTCTTTTCATTGTTTTCCTTATATAGTATTTACATATCATGATCACCATTTTAAAAATAAGTTTTATAATCACAATCCATTCTAGTGCTCCTTCCCCCCTTCTGCATTCATGTTTGCTCCCCAAATACCCTCACCCTCCCTACACCCCCTATAAACCCTTGCATCAATTATTATCTTTATGCATCTCCTCCTTCTATGCTTCACAAACTGGAAAGCCAACAGACACAATAAAAGACAAAAAGCGGTAAGGATAAAGTAATAATAATACAAAGGTAAAAGTACAAATAATGGGTGAGAAAGAAAATACCACCATCAATATTTAAAAAGCCAGGGAAGAAATTGTTGTCATGGAACAAGCAAGAAATACTTAAGCCTAGAACAAATTGAGGTTGGGTCAAGAGGAAGGTCAACTGACGCGGTATCAAGTTCAATCCAGCATAATCAAGTTTAAAATGATTTCTATCTGATAGTAAAGCTGTTTGAGACCCATGCCTGTGGCTAGAGGGTTCTCCAAGAGACTTAATCTGACTAGATATTCTGTAGGTGGGCTTGAAGCTCCCACTGTCCTCCAGAGCCTACTGTAACTCTTTACCAGTAGAGTAGTAAACCCCATCATTCTCCCAAGCCAGAAAATTATGGTGACTGTTGTTTTATTTTTGTTTTTTAAATATTTCAATGGAGGTCCATCTAGATAGACTTTGGTCAAAGTACAGAGAATGATCACAGGGGCTTATTAGGAAACAGTTTTTTAAAGGACCGCGTTAGTGAGAGAAAAAATAAGGCATCAAGGTGTTGATTTTGGTTTTGTTTCTTTTCATCACCACAGTGTACCTTGCAGGGAGCAAGGGATGTCCTACAACAATTTCTTAGGTAACTGTTTACTGTTTACCCTATAGCCCTGAGCTTAGTCTGAATGACTGACTTCTTTTTGTTCTCCAAATGCAAAGAACGTTGAAAAGGAACACAACTTGAGTCCCTAGAGGGTGCCCAAACTGCTGTTTTGACGGGGTGTCAGTTGAAGAGAATGGAATTCTTTAGGGGAAGGGTTAGAGAGGTGGAAAACACCATCTTCAGAAGCTCGCAGACCTAGCTGGAGATGTCGGGAGACAGTAGCTGCATCTTTCAGTATTTCTATTTCAGAGCAGTTTCACTCATTTTGCAGCACGACTTTGACCGAACCTTGTCTATGTATATGCTTAGACCAGGGCTCCGTGCTGGTGGCTGCTGCTGTTATTAGCGCAGGCAAAACCGACATGGCCCTGGCCTCGGAGCACGTGGATGGCTGTGGATGGCTCAGTGACAGGCAGGCCTGGCTCTTCTTGAATTAGATGAGCAGTGTGCTGGGCAGATGAACAGCTGCAGTGGACAAGGAGTAAAGTTACTGGGTGTTGAAGCGGCCTGTGATACAGCAAGTGTCTAGTTTTTAATAGAGCAAATAACGCCAATCTTAACTTTCACCAGGTCCCATTCTCTTGAGAAAGAAACTAGTGGCAAGTCATCCAAGAAGAACAAAGAGTGCGGGAAAATAACCCACTTCCTATCAAGTTGCCCCAACTCATGATGACCCCATGTGTGTCATGAGTATCGCCGTGTTTCCTCAGGTTTGCAGTGCCTTGGGTTTTCAGAAGGAGATCACCAGGCCTTTCTTCCAAGTACCTCTGGGTGGACTCAAACCTCCAACCTTTAGGTTAGCAGCCAAGGACTCCAAACACAGGGTTAATTCAAAACAGCCCCCTTCAGAGCGCTGGCCAAGCAACGGAACAGTCTCTTACCTCCTCAACTACCTGCTCCAAGGCCTGCTGGAATCCTTAAAGAGTCCAGAGTCATGGGCAAAGGCACATTTCTGCTTGACTTGGCACTGAGTGTGTTTTATTGCCTTCTTTTAGAAAATTCTTTGGACAATATTTTAGAACTCTGTTAACCAGTGCCTTCAGCTTACGAGGTCTCTCCAGCCTCCAGACTGTTTGCTTAAGTTGAAATAAGCACTACAGGCCGGCCTGGGTTCTGTTCCAGACCACGCCAATGAAGTTAGTATCACAATAAAGTCATGGGTGCACTCCACCGTCATGTATGAAGTGTGCAATAGCATCACAGAAATGTCGGAAAGATTGTGAAGATGACTGAAATATGGGACCCAGAGACACCAAGTGGGCCCACGCTGTTGGAAAACATGGCATTGCTAGGCCTTGCCCAGGGCAGGGCTGCCACAAACCTTGCATTTGTGAAAATGTGGCCTCTATGAAGCGCAATAAAATGAGGTCTGCCTGTAAAGTTTTTACTTTCAGGGCTGCTGCCCGTGCAGAAAAGACAAGCAGAAATCCCTTGCAGACGTTCTGTTTTACGTGTTTCTGTCTACCTCAGGAAGTAAAAGTTAACAATCTCCCCTTGAAAGAGTCAGTTCAAAGTGGTATTCAGAGATAAATAGGACATGTTCACCAAAGTGTGTATTTACTGTCATTTCCCCTGACTTTCCATCGTTTCCCCGCCGGCCGGGCGGCCGGGTTCTTTCTTTTTGGGACACTTTTTGTTCATAGGAAGTAGCAGCAAGCAAAGCTGGGATTGAATTGTCAGCTCTGCTGAAGAAAAAGCAGGAAGGGACTCTTGGGGGTGGGAGGTTCCCTGAAATTGGACTGGGTGGCAGGTGGTGGTGATGATGACCGATGCCCAGAGAATTGAGACCCCCTTATTCCAGAAGATGCTCTTTCAACAAGAGCTCTGTCATACCCTTCGTTTGATAGGGATGGCTTTCTAGCGCAGTGTTTCCCAAAGTGGGCGATACCATTCCCCCAGGGAGGGACCTCTGGAATGATCCAGGAGGGCTGCAAAAAGCAGACCTTACCCTTTGTCTTGAATTCTGAGCTACAGTACAAACATTTTTGTTGCCGGCGAAAAGCACCAAATAAGTTTGGGAATCTGTGTTCTAGAAGGTATGGTGTGGGTCTGTTCAGAGGGGAGAAAAACAAAACCCTCAAGCAAGTTTAACTCTTTCCTGCCACATCCCCAGTGTTCACCATTCAAAAATTTTACATCTTCTGCACACCCTAGATACTCCACTACAGAGAATCCCAACCTTCCGTAGCCTTTTCTTGGTGTAGCAGTGTTGAGTAGCCTCAAAGCTTGTGAGCGTGGATGGTGGCTTTTAGGCTGAGAGTGTCCTTGGTCCCCTGTGAGTTGGTTGAGTGGTACAGGAAGGCTTAGGAGAGCTGAGATGAAGAGGTTGGGGGCCAAGGGCATGGGTCTCAGTCCCAGCACAGCCACCTTGTTACTGTCAGTGTGAATGAGCAAAGGCCCAGGCTTGCCTGGAGAGTGGCAGTTCCTGAGCAAGTCCACAGGTTACCTTTTCTTGTCCTAAAGAAGCCCTGGTGGCATAACGGTTATGCACTGGGCTGCTATCCGCACGGTTGGCAGTTCGAAAGCACCAGCAGCAGCTCCGTGGGAGAAAGACTGTGCTTCCTACTCCGGCAACAGTTACAGTCTCGGGAACCTACAGGGCATCACTATGTGTCAGCATTGACTCCATGGCAGTGAAGAGTGCCTTGGAGGAAGCCTTAGTCTGCTCACTGTTGAATAGGGATGGTTTTAGCATCTTCTCTCAGGGCTGTTGGGAAGATCGAATCAGACCATGGAGATGAGAGCCTTTTGAGAAGTTGGAAGCCCTGCTGGTTATGAAGTGGTGTTACTGTGACTGCCTGGGACTTGTCATTGTCCTGCAGAAGTGTGGGGATACTTGACTTGCTTCTGCTTTGTGTTTTTCTTCATGCCTGAATTGGATCTACTTCCTGGTATTAATTCACACAGGAGAAGAGATGCCTTTTCTTGACTGACTGGAACTAAGCAATCTTTTTTGGTTGTTGCTATCAGTATGTTCCACTGTCAAGTTACAGGTAACAACCCCCCGCCCACCAACACTTTTCACAAGTTTGTTTTACAGCACTGGGCTTTTATGAAAGACCTACCTTTAGGACCTGTTCTGGCTCACCAAAAGTAAACCAAAGAGGATTTTTTATTTCGCGGAATGAAGGCAAACAGAAAATGTAGAAGCTGGGGTTCGGCATTCGTCTTTTAGCTAGTCGTTAAAGAGGCAGAGTACACACACACACACACACACACACACACAACAACAACAGCAGGAAGAGTGGTGTCCCCAAGCTCCTTTCCCAGGGAATGACTTTCAGTGTCACAGCAGCAGGCCACCCTGGCCTCCAACTGTGTCTGAGGTCACCCTGTGTTAGCCCTGTGTAAGAATTCTGTGAGGTTTTGTGTATTGATTGTTAGGTCACTTGTTGCCTCTAGAAATGTGCAAAGATTGTTCCCATAGGCACCCGTGGTAACCGGCTTCTTAGCCTTACACCATTTCGGCTTTTTGAAAGTTTCATAGGAAAGCTCTGCTTCGGGGTATTGAGGGAAACCTGCATGTGAACCATTTAATCGCCCAACTGGCAGGACAGGCGTTGGTGTTTTATGCCCATCTTGTCCTTGGTATGTGTTTGGGTAAGGGGTGGGATCCTGACTCAGCACCTTTTGAAATGTGTTTGGCGTTTGTTCTGCTTGTGAACCCAGATTCTGTGAAGCTGTTTAAAATAATGCAGTGTGGAGGCCCATGGGGGTCTCCTGGACTCTGGGTACCATCCTGAGCCACTCTGTGTCCCGGGGAAGGTGGCGGGTGGCCCTTCCCCTCACCCCACACCCTGGTGACTTAACTTTAAAAAAGTATGAGATGACCTCATACCTGCCCCTCTCTACCTCCCACAGTGCCGAAAGCTGCCCAGTGATCCCCAAGAACCTACTAAGAAAAGTCCCCGGGGGGCTTCAGAGTCAGGAAAAGAGCACAACGGAATCATGGTCAAGCACAAGCACCGGAAACCAGTGAGGCCGGAAGCCCAGTCTCCAGGAAAGCGAGCCGAGAGCCACGAGGAAGGTAGGCAGCAGGCTGACCCGCTGGGCTAAACTGGGCTGGAGAAGGGTCCCAGGGACACCGAATGATGGGAGACTCCTTCACTCTGGAAGAAGATTGAACAGGCACCTCTGAAGTCAGAGGTGGGGAGGAAAGTAAGGTCAAAGGTGATGGTGGTCGCCATCACCCTGCAGCTGATCTTGGCTCGAAAAAGAAGCGGGTATCCAAAGAACTTAGAGACAGAACACAGAGTTTCCTTATGCAGCATGCTCTTCCTTTGTGTACCTCAAAGCTCCCATTATTAGAAGTTAAGAATGAAAACTAGAAGGGTTTAGAGATATCGGGTCCCCTTATTAGTGGAGGATACATGGGGCGGTTGGTTTCGGTGGTGTGCTCAACCTGTGAGCTCTGTCGCACATGGCTCCTCAGTCCCTCAGCAGGGAGAGAAGCCTCTGTATTCTTTGCCTCTGAGTCCATATTTGTGGTCTTGCCCATTGGAAATGATCTGCTTCTTTCAGCCTGTTCTTACATAGCAGCTTTCCTCTGTTCACCCCTCTTTCCTCCCATCTTCTTGCCTTGCTCTGACCTCCAAGATCCATTTGAGGTGGTCCATCTCTGGGATTTACTCCAATCCAGTTCTAACTCTGTTGAGGGACAGCTGCCTCCAAGCCATACCCTCATGCTGTCCAATCGATCCGTGTTTGGGGGTGTTAGCAAACGTGGCCAAATGTGTCATTTTCCAAAGCCACCAGGAACTGCTTACCTTCTCAGAGATGGGATGAATGGGTATCACCCCAGGGAAAACACAAGCCCTCCTTGAGTTTTCCATCTGAAAAATCTTTTCGGGCTAAAGACTCTGTCATTTCTGCTTTCTGTCCTGATGACCCCCACCCCCCTACCCAAACCCCAGGTTCCTTGGAAAAGAAAGCGAAGAGCAGTTTCCGGGACTTTATCCCTGTGGTCCTGAGCACCCGGACACGCAGTCAGTCTGGTGAGTGAGTCCTCTGAGGCAAATGGCCCATTTGGGCACCAGCTCTGAAAAGAGAACCTCGTTGAGCCATTGTTGCATTGGCCCAAGTGGAGAGTGATGGAGGTGATTTGCTGTGCCAAGATGCCTAATTCCCTGCGGAGGCAAGAGACCAGGGGTGCAGGTGGGGTGCAGAGGGTGTTATTCAGGATTTGAGGGGTCCTTGAGTGGCACAAAGGGTTTATACTTGGCTAAGGAGCCCTGGTGATTTATTGGGTAATACATTGGGCTGTTAACTGCTAGGTCAGAAGTTCAAATCCACCAGCCACTCCGAGGGAGAAAGATGAAGCTTTCTACCCCTGTAAAGAGTTATTGTCTTGGAAACCCACAGGGGCAGTTCTACTCTGTCCTGTAGGGGTCATAAGTCAGCATGTACTCGTTGGCAGTGAGTTTATTAATCAAAAGATTGGAAATTCAAACCCACTCAAAAGCACATCAAAAGAAAAGCCCAGTGATCTCCTTCCGCGAAATTTATGGCTAGGACAACGCTTTGGAGCTCAGTTTTGCTCTGGACACACAGGGTCACCATGACTTGGAATCAATGCTACGGCCACAAGATTGGGGGCCTGGCTTTCCAGCCTGGAGAGGCAGCGGGGGAAGGACAACCTGGTGTCCCTCGGAAAGCTGGCCTGACTCCAATCTCTGGTGTCTGATAATGTGGGGGCCAACCTCAGGCCTGAACATTGAACCTTTGGGTCTTAGGGTGACTGGCAGGGGTCATCAAAACTGAAACTGGTTGTGGAGTCACCAGAGCTGGCCGAATCACATTTGGCCTCTTGAATTGGTATTGGGCAAACCCTTGTTACCTGGAAAACACCTAGCCCTTTCCAGTCACCAGTAGCTTCCACTAGCCTCCGCATTGATGGCTCACCTAGACTGCCATACAAATTGGGTACATTGGGGAAAGTGGAGTGCTGTATAAACCCAGTTAGCTGATATTCTATTAACTGACCTCTCAGCCTATGGAGAGGGAGATGGTAATTGGAGCTCGTCGCCATGGCAGTTTGAGTCTTGGGGAACCATCAATGCATTTAGATGATTTCAGCCCATTTGGGTGTTAAACACATTGGACTGTGTTTGATTCTTTTGAAATGGGCAAGCTCTGTAGGAATTCCACATGAATGAGAATATGAGAGTAACCAGAACACTTTGCTCCCTGCCTGGTCTGTATACAGGAAAGTTGATATGACCAACTTGAAACTTTGGCCAAGAATTTTCTCTGTGTTTGCCTCCAACCATTTCTTCCTTTCTTCAGATGGCCTCGCTTGAATTAGGAGGGTATTGCGTTGAGAGGTGGACCTTAGGAGAAAAGTGGTAGAATCCCAGAACTGCTTTCGAGGCAGGTGTCAGATCTTTCAGGTTGCCCAATCAGGCCACTTTCAGACTGGACTTTGGATGTTAACTCCTTGACCAGGCCTCCTTGGCAGCTGGACGAGGTATCACTGGTGCTGGGGTGGTCAGCACAGGTGGGTGAAGTGCCCACCCAGCGGTGATCAACAGCTGCTGCCAGGATGGGCATGGGGCCAGGGAGCCAGCTCCAAACCCTCGGCACCTGCACAAGAAGAAGTGTTGATTGAAAGGAAGAAGGCTCATTTGGACCTGACTGAATGAGACTGTATCTCTGGAAGGGGCCTCTGGCATTCCATTTTGCCTGAGATTCTCCTTTGGTGGTGATCCTGTTGGTCTGGGGCGGGTCTGACATCAAAACTGGGGGAGGTGGGGGAGCGGTGCCATGAGGAGAGCAGGCCTAGGGCACGATGTCACCTTCACTCTCTATTAAACCCCAATTTCCCACAGACGGGGACACTTGTGGCGTCGTGGTTTACACACTGGGCTGCGCTCCAGAAGGCCAGCAGTCTGAAAGCACCAGCAGATCCACAGGAGAAAGACAGGGTTTTCTACTCCTCCCGTAAACAGTTACTGTCTTGGAAACTCACAAGGGCAGTTCGACCCTGTCCTGTAGGGTCTCTCTGAATCGGCACCTACTCAATGGCAGTGAGTGAGTTCCCACAGAGCAGGACTCTCTGGCCTGTCCCTGCTACCCCTCACAATGCAGGGTGTCTTTTCTAGGCCCCAAGCAAGAGTTTGGGGAGTGAATGATAGTGACACTGCACAGGGGTGAGTAAAGGTGTGTATTGCTAATAAGAGGGCTTACCAAAATTGGTGGGCAAATGGGATATGACGATTATAGTTGAAGAAGCATTTATGGGAGCACTTTCAGGTTTGTTCCTCAGAAACAGCCTGGGGGCGTGGTCACTGAGGCAGGGAACACCGTTCCTGTTTGATAGTTGAGGAGACGGAAATGAAGGAATGTTCCAGAAGTATACTAATTCGCAGAGCTTGAGATTTTAGTCCTTTGGAGACGCCTCTGACCCGCCTCTCCCTGTCTTCTACAGGCAGCATCTGTAGCTCCTTCGCTGGTCTGGCAGACGGTGACATGGGAAGCCAGGAAGTCTTCCCCACCGAGGAGGAAGAAGAGGTGACCCCCACCCCAGCTAAGCGTCGCAAGGTGAGGAAAACCCAACGGGACACTCAGTATCGCAGCCACCATGCCCAGGATAAGAACCTGCTGAGCCAGGGCCGCAGACACCTGTGGCGAGCCCGAGAAATGCCCTGGAGGACAGAGGCTGCCAGGCAAATGTGGGATACCAACGAGGAGGAGGACGAGGAGGAGGAGGAAGGCCTGTTGAAGAGGAAGAAAAGGAGGCGACAGAAGAGCCGAAAGTATCAGACCGGGGAGTATCTCACTGAGCAAGAAGAAGAACAACGGCGGAAAGGGAGAACAGGTAAGGCTGGCAGCCCCACTGTCAGGGACCCTCGGCATCTCCAGGGTTCCCAGCAGCCTGCTGCTGCCTGTTCAACACCAGCAGAAGGCCTGTGGACCCAGAGAAAACTGGTGCTATGATCTCCAGCTGCCAGAGGGGGTCACTCCACTCCAGTCGTAAGGTATTGGCTTTGAGTTGAGCTTGTGTGAATGAGGTCTGGCCTGAAGAAACACCAGTGACGGTAGCATAGTGGGTTATGCTTTGGGCTGCTAACTACAAGATCAGTAGTTCGAATGCACGAGCCACGCCATGGGAGAAAAATGAGGTTTTCTATTACGGTAAAGAGATAGTCATGGAAACCCACAGGGGCAGTTCTACCCTGCCTTAAAGAAGGGTCTCTATGAGACAGGTAGGTGTGTTGGGGACAGAGAAGCCCACGCCCTCCAATTTCTTATAGAAGTTTGAAGGCATGGGGAGTGCACAGAGACAACCTTGGCACATCAGCAAATCCCCTGGTTGGGCTGAGGGAGTCAAGGCCTCTTGGAGGCTAGGTGGTTTCTCCCCCCACCCTTTTTTTAAACCATACAACTCTTATCACAATCCATACACACAGCAATTGTGTAAAGCACATTTGTACATTCATTGCCCTCATCATTGTCAAAACATTTCCTCTCCACTTAAGACCCCGGCATTAGTTCCTCATTTTTCCCCTCCCTCCCCGCTCCCCCCTCCCTCATGAGCCCTTGATAATTTATAAATTGTTATTTTGTCATATCTTGCCCTGTCCGACATCTCCCTTCACCCACTTTTC